ACCACGACTCTTTCTGTGCATCAATACAGCCAGTTCTTTATCCACCATGTGGCCCATCCATCAAATCTATGTCTCTCCAGCAGCACAGTGTCAAACGCTTCGGATAAGTCTAGGTGGGCGATGTCAGTTGCTCTGCCCCAGTCCACCAGAGCTGCAGCACTGTCATACACAGTTTTCAAGAGTATCCACTCCATGATCTTGCCTGGCACAGAGGTGAGACTGACTGGTCTGTAGATCACCAGGTCTTCTGCATTCCCCTTTTTAATAATGGGGGCTATATTTCTCTTTTTCCAGTCATCAAAGTCATGCAAGGTGGATAGAGGGTTTTGTGACAGCTTCGTATGCTTTTTCCAGCTGTCCATTTGTGACAGTTGCATGGCAGTTATTCCCTCCAGTATTTTAGAAACAGAGTGCTCTTAAGATGTCACTTTAAATTAAAGCCAAGATTTTGAACAAAATAATTTATTTATATTCTTGATTTAAATTTCAGTAGCATGCTGAGACTCAATTTACTCAGGCTGTCTTCTCTGGCAGAAAGGTAATTTTATTTAACTGTATGAAATTTCGTCAAAAAGAGAAATTTGTTTTAGCTTACAGGTAAAAGATGCTTGTGCCAACTGGATACCGAGTGAAAAATCTTTCCATACCTGACACCCATCATCTGTCTGAGTTTGTTTGTGCTGTAGAACACAGAAAATGCTCTTCCCCCTTAGCACCTTAAAAGCAATTTTTTTCTTAGTTTCTAGAAGGACAGGGAAGATGGCAGGATATGGTTGTACTCTTTCTGGGATTTTTTTGTGCCTTTTGTTTAGAAAAATTCTGAAAGATACTTATTAAAGTAATAGAACGTATGAACAATAACTACTGCCTATCTTAAGCAGGAGGACAGATGGTGCTTACTTGCTTCATTCTTGGAGAGTTTAGCAGATTAATTCCCAAATAGAAATTCAGCTTTTGTAAAGACACGTAAGTAAAAAAGAGGGGATCTTAAGTACTAGGTTTTTCGTAGAAGCCACAGAAGAATATGTTGTGCTTCTGCCTGTTTTGAGATGCCTGTAGTGTTATTGCAGACAACAGGACAGGCAAGAATTGTTTAGTGTGCCCTGTGAGACAGGTGTACTAACTTTGTAGGCTTTTTGAGTTCCTGGTGATGCATGTTTTCCAAATATAATTTTGGATAATGCTGGATTCTATTTGGAAAGTAAAGCTAGTAAGAATAATGATGAAAAAATTGGCATAGAAACGGTAGAAAGTTAAGTATATTGACATTAAGGAGGGAACTGAGAAAAGCACTTAGAGCTTTCTGTGAGAGCTCCAGTTCTGTTATTTAAAATAAAAGCAGAAATCAATTTCCTGTTTTTACTGGCTTAAATTTTTAAAATTTCAAACAGTGGGTCTTCGACCCCATCAAGGCAACACTTTTTCTTCCATCAGCTTTGAACAGCTGAATGGGATCAACTGGGATCGTTACTTGCCTGGGGTATGTCCAAAGAAGACCCGGGAAGAAAAACTCAGCCCTGAGAAACACTGAAGGGTCACTGTTTTTACTGTGGTTCAAATCCTTTGTAAATGCTCAAAGTCTGTAGCATTTGCTAATTGAGTGGTGCACTGGCAGATAAACCAGTGTTTATTAAGTTAATGTAACAGTTTGTGAGAATTGCTGAAATTCAGGCTTTTGGAAACCACAGGTGTTGAGTTACAGTAGAAATAAAATTTGATTTTATGTGTTGCTTCATATTTCTGATGGCTTGGAAACTTAAGTCCCCAAACTCCCCTGAACTTACAGAGAATAGATACACTCATTTCAGTGTCTTGGCTAAATTCCAGCAAGTAATTACATTCAGTTTATCTAAATTCCACTCTAGTTTGAATTGGTTGAGATAGTTTCCATCTTCTGTCTTATGTTATTGTTTATTTAGGTGTGTGGTGTTAAATCAGCTGCTGTTTTTCCAACTTGACATTGCTATATTTTGTTAGAAACTAATACTATTTCAGAGTGTACATATGATTTGCAAATTTCTTTGAAGCAAAAGGAAAAAAGTAAATTGTTGTGTTGTGGTATTTGTTATTTAGTGGAGAAGTGCTTGTAAAATATCATGATTGTTGTTTTGAAATGTTCTTGAATAGGATATTTATGTATGCTCATTCTGAGTTTTTAAAGTCTAATGTCAGACGTAAATAATGTGCTTTTGTTTAAATTAACTGGAGATGAACATTTCTCTAAATCTGAATTAAACTTTTTCACCTGGATTTGAGATATGCAAGTGACAGACAAGGAATCCATATGTCCTTTGCATGAGACTGTTGCAATACTCTACCTGAAATTATTAACTCCACAAAAGACAAGACAAGTTTTAGACCTGTTGGCTGAAAATGACAGAGGTCATCCTCCTACCCAGTCAAGTTTGAGAACAGTAAATATTTCCTATATCTAGGCATTTTTTTTTCAGGAAGATATTCATCCCATGTCTGAAATAAGTATTAACTATACTAATTTGTTTTAGTTTCTGTATTGTTTTGTCTTTGTCTTAGCATTCAGTTTATACTGTGAGTTAGCAGCGCATTGTCGGTTTTATTGATTCAGTGAATGTCCCTAGTTTCAGATAGAAACTTTGGTGAATCTGTACAATTTGTGATAGATAAAGGCTACCCTGACTGTATTTCAGATGACTAAGTATCACTTATGTAGATACTGGGCTGCTCTGGATTAAAGACTAGGGTACAGTGTATACTGAAAGAAGCCAAAGAGACAAACTGTAGCAGAAAGTTGTCCTGATCGGGTATTCTTCCTCTATCTCCACCACTGTCTGTGGTATTTTAATCTTATCCCAGGGAATATGTAATATTTCAGAAAAATGGATGGGCACCACTTGTTTCCATCCTTTCACATTCTTCCCAGGAAAGAAGGAATTTGGTTGCTGCTGCTGTTGCTATTAGAACTAGAAAGTTGCCCTTCTATACATTGTCTGTTGTTTGGGAGCTGAACTTACAGACCTTTGAGCTCCACAGTGTGTGGCATAGTGCAGGCAGCTTTTCTTCTCTGTAGAAGTTTCTTGCAATCATGAATAATTTTTCTTTCTCTGGAGCGCTGATTATCGTAAATATTTTTCAGCATGACACCCAAGAAATGAAGTATAGAAACCAGCAGACACAGCTACTTCCAAACTCTACAAAAAAAGCACCTTAAGGCACTGCCCAAGGAGGGGGAAGCCCATGTGCTGCCGGTAGTCCATCAGGCGGTTTCGACCTCTGTAGAGATACTCTGTGAAGAATGTGGCTGTTGAGAAAAGGTGTGGGTATATGTCTGCTTTGCTGCTCAGGTTACATGTTGGAGAAATGGTGGACTGAGTTCACCCTGGTTTTTGATACCTGTCTGTAAGTTTCTAAGTAGGAACTATAAGCTTCCAGCAGCATAGATTTCTGTATACTTCAAATAACTAGTGTTCCTACTCTGTTGTGATGAAGATCTATACATGGTGCCAGGAGAGGAAGCATAAAACCAAAGAAAACCTTGAGGAATAACAAATGAAAATCTTAATTTAATTTAATTTTTAATTTTCTTTTTAATTTCATTACATATACTGATGTCCAAATTCTACATTTTGTCTCCTAAATTTGTTTATTCTTTTCTTGTTTTTCAATACCAAATTAAAGAAGGTAGTTGATAAAGGCTACAGTTTTCTGGTTTTTCTTGTATTTTAGTAGATTGAGGTTTTATAGCTAACTTACTTGTACTTTCCAGAGTGCATTTTCTCTTCTCTTGTTGCCTTCTTTTTATTTTCTTATTTTTTATTTCCATTAAATTGAGATCAGGTAAAGCAGTGGAATTTGATCTTATTCATTCATGTTTCTTCAGCAGCTTGGAGTTTTCCTTTTATAAATGAGCCACTTTGAACTTTAGAGAATGGGTAATTGCATGTAAAAGAGATAAAGGAAAATGAAACATTACAAATAAAAACAAAAATGAGAAAGTGAAGGGGGAAAGTGTTGAATGAAGTGAGGAATGCTGACAGACTTCTGGCAAGCAAAATGGGAGCAATATGATGATGGCCATGGGAATCAGTCACTCATTTTTTCAGGAAGAATCAAAAGGCAATTTTTTGGATGAGATTAAAAAAAACCCCTTGCTCTTTTAGAATAATTCATCAGACTTTATGGTTCTGTACTAGAATTTTTTTGAAAAAGGAACTGAGAATTTTTGGTTAGGAATATTGCTAAAACATTACTTGTTTTGCAAATTACATTTTAGGTGTATGTGGAGATGGAAATCTTTGGAATAAAGGAATAATATCTGAATTTTCACATAGAGTCTAACAGTGTAAATTCTGTGGTGTTTCAGTTACTGATTATAAACTTAGTAAAAAGCTTTTGGAACTGATAAAACAGGTCATGGAATAGTTGAATTAAATTTCTTTTTTTTAAAAAACCTTTAACTTGCAAGGTGTAAAGTGTTTATTGCTTGAGGCAGAGCTGTTAAATAATTTTCAAACGTGATTTAGGTAAGCAAATAGCCCTAATCAGTGACCTAGTACATTATATGAATAAGTGTAGTTTCTAGAAATCTTTAATCCAGAACTTGACAAATAATATTTAGCCAAGGTATATAGTGTTAGTGACTATATGGCCATTGAACATTGCACGGGATTATGTATCTGTTTAGAGTATGCAATAAAACAAGCATGAGTGAATAATTTTATTTTTGTTATAGCATATCAGTGGTTGCTAAAATTTAACTTAATCTTTCTCTAGGAAACAGTCATATTTCCTTTACATGTTTTTGTACAGTAACAAATGTGCAGTTTTTGTTTCTGATGGTGACTCACGTGTTACAGTATTACACTTAACAGTAGCATAAGTTCATTGTCTACTGGGAGGCAAAACAGCAAAAAAAGGGCAAGTGACCACAAAGAGAAAGGGGATGTGTTTTGCTTGGTGTAGAGAATAGGTATCCTGTTTGCTATCCTGACCTGTTTATTTTACTAGAGTTTACTGTTTTTCAGGTGCAGTTAAAAACCAATCATTCGAGTCAATATGTAATTCGTACACAGCCAACAAACACCTGTCTGTCTACACTTGAATGTGCAGCTGTTGCTCTTACTATCATGGAAAAGAATAAGAGCATACAAGAGGTATGTAACTTCAAACACCTGGGTTTTTCTTCTATGAATGGTAGAGGAGCAGCAAAGGTACTTTGCTATTAGTGTAACACATTTGACAGTTAAAATCTTAATGACATTGTAATGGTTTTGTTGAATAGGAAACTAAACAAGAATGTACCAACGGAAACCATTTTTCTTCAATGTGTTCAGACTACTGTGATTCCTTCATGTTTGTCCATAAAGGCTCTACGGTTTTCCTGTTCTTTACCCAACATAGCTGTGAGATTGCTAAGGAAACTTGTTAGGTACAAGCTGAATGTTTGTTAGCTTTGTAGCTCTACAGGCTAATGAGGCAACACCTGACACAGAGGGAGCTAACTGGGGCAGCCCAACCTGCTCCACAAATAAAGAAATTAGCAACTAGTTCAACCAAGAAAAGGCAGTGGGTGGTAGTAGTGGGTGACTCTGCTTTATGAGACGCTCATCTCTTAAGGGCCTGACCTGCTCTCAAGAGAGGTGTGTTGCCTTCAGGGAGCCCAGATAAGGAATGTCACTGAGAAGCTACCAAGCCTAGTTAAACCCACTGATTATTACCCACTATTAGTGTTCCATGTGAGAGCTTGCAGCAGTCTGGGGGATTACAGAGTCAGTAAAGGGCTCTGGAGCTCGAGTGGTTTTTTCATCAGTCCTTCAGGTCAAAGGAGAGGGTCTCGAAATGGCCAGCTGAATCTGACAGGTCAGCACATCTTTAAAGTGATGGGACTGTAGTCAGGATTTTTTACTCAGACCATGGGACTTGCTTTCCTAAGCCTGATTTCCTGGGGAGGTGGTGGGGTTGGTCTGACAAGGGAGGGAAAATGTATCTTTGGTTGGAGACTTGCCAATCTGGTGAGTGGGGCTTTAAACTAGATTTTTCAGGAGAGGGCACCTATCTATCCCGATGCTGCCAGTCAAGGAGGGGATGTAGCCCTCTCTGTCAAGAACTAGCTGGAGAGTATGGAACTCTGCCTGAGGAAGGATAAGCAGCCAGCTGAGAGCTTCTGGGTGAAGTTTAAAGGGAGGACAGGGGATGTTTTATTGGGGTCTGCTACAGGCCACCTGATCAGGAGGATGGTGTGGATGAAGCCCTCTCTAGGCAGATAGGAGCAGCCCTGGTTCTCATGGGGCTCACAAGCCCTGGTTCTCATGGGGGATTTCAACCACCCTGATATATGTTGGAGGGACAGCACAGCAGGGCACAAGCAATCCCAGAGGTTCCTCGAATGTGTCAATGACAACTTCCTTACACAAGTGATTGAGGAGGTAACAAGGACAGGTGTCATGCTGGACCTTGTGCTCACCAACAGGGTGAGGAATTTAGTGCTCTGAGGCAGCCTTGGCTGCAGGGACCATGAGATGGTGGAGTTTGAGATCCTCAGGCCAGTGAAAATGGCACTCAGCAAGCTCACTACCCTGGACTTCAGGAGGAGCAGCCTGTGGCCTCTTCAAGGAACTACTTGGTAGAGTCCCAGGGGATGGAGCCCTGGAGGGCAGAGGGGCCCAAGAATGCTGGCTGAATTTCAAGGTTCACCTCCTCCAAGCTCAGGAATGATGCATCCCAACATTGGAGGAAATCAGGCAAAAATGCCAGGAGGCCCCCATGGATGGATAAGGAGCTGCTGAGCAAACTCAGACCAAAAAAGAAGCTTTCAGAAAGTGGAAATGAGGACAGGTGGCCTGGAAGGAACATGGGGAAATTGTACAGGAAGCTAGGGGTAAGCTTAGGGAAGCCAAGTTAGAATTGAGTCTGGCCAGTGATATCAAGGATAACAGGAAGGACTTCTGTAGATCTATTACAAGGAAAAGAAAGACTAGGAATACTGTTGGCCCTCTCTACAGGGAAATGGGAGACCTGGCTACCTTGGACAAAGAGAAGGCTGATGTTCTCAACAACTGTATGCCTCAGTCTTCAACAGCAAGTGCTCCAGCCACGCCACCCAAGTCAGGAAAGGCAAATGACTGGGAGAATGACAGTGTTGTAGTGTCTTCCAGTTCCTTCTTTCCTTCTACCTCATTCTTCTTTCCCATCACATTTTCTTATCCTGTAATACTCTCTTCCACACTTCTTCCTATCCCTCTGAACATAATGAGAAGAGTGACTCAGATTCTCATCGCATATATATTACTTCTTTAAAAAGTTGATTTCAAGGTGCCAAATACATGCTGTGATTGCTGCAATACAAAATAAAAATCTGTGGAGAAGGCAGCTGGAGACTTAGACCCAAGCAAATAGAAGTACTGCTATGTATATTGCAGGGAAAATCGTGTGGAGATGTGGTGTTGTAGTTATCTCTTCATGTGATGTTTTTCTAAGTTCACTTGACATTTTTTAGTACAAAACTTCAAAACATAGACTGTGTACCAGGCATGTGTAATATACAAAATTGTACAAATGTAAAGTGCTAGACTGATTTTTAAAATACCCTTTCTTTTGGGTATTTCTTAACTATAGTGTATAGAAAATTGCTTTATTTTGTGTACTCTGTTAAGTAGCTGTTAACAACTGTTCACTTGTACTAATATGTGGAATGTACGTGTTGAACTCTTTATGTTACCCAAGTTATGCTCGCTCTAAAGTACGATTAGTATTTGTAGCAAAGGAATATATTAGCAAGCTTGTCAGAGGTTATAGTCTAAAATCACTCTGATGTCTTAATTTTCATGAAGCCAGAAAAACATGATGATTATTTAGTTGATTTATGTTTCTTTGATACTGAACAATATGGCAAGCAGTGACTTTGACTTTCTTGTGTTTTTTCCTAGTGGTAGCTAAAACGTGAAGCCACTTAAAGTCAGGAGAGTTTATAATTTTAATTTGCACATCCTACAATAAATGTTGGGATATGATATGTATGTGTACACACTTTAAAATGTTTATTTACTTCAATTGAGAACAAAACTGTCATAGAAAAATTCACATATATCCCCCAATTTCTTCATATTCTATTAGTGAGGAATAGTATTACTTCAGGTACTACCAGATGAGGCTGTTGGGAATTTGTAAAATACCTTTGGATACAACTTGTTAAAAATTGAGCCTTTTCAAGATAGGAGAAACTTGAGAAAATTTGAAGATTAGTAAAGTTCCTGTCTCCCTTACATAGGATATTAAATTGTTTAACTCCCTTAAATTTAAGGTTAACTTCACTTAAGATCTGAATTCAAAATTACTGAGCTGACAGATGTTTAGAGTAGCTGGTGCTAGACTAAAAAGTTTCATTTAGTTAGCAGTCAGATAGGATTAATTTCCTTTTTAGCATGTGTTGATCTCAGAATATTTATTGAAGTCAAATAACCATTATCATTTTTAATAGATTGGTAATTTTTAATTATCCTTTGAAGTTGAAGCACAGCAAGGTGATCTTTGACTCTCAAAAACCTGATAACAGGTTGTGACAGGAGATTGAGTATAGTACTGCATGGAAAATAGTAAGTTTTTCTCTGCAAAAACTAGACAGCAGAGATGATCTGAATACCCACTCACAGCTATCTTGAAGATTAAATGCTGTTGTAAGACAGGACCACTGACCTCCAGCACTCCTGCAGGCATGGAATGCAACCCACTGGGTTATGTCTTCCTAGCAGCCAACTCACAACTCTTATATGTCATTGGAGGAATTTGAGACTTAATAGTTCTTGAGTTTAAGTTTATCCCAGGTCAAAGAATACTAAATCAACATTAGCCTTTCCTTGTAAGTTGCGATCCCACTAGTCTGTAATGGAAGAGGTCATTAAGATAATGTCCTTCTTAATCTTTTGTTGCTGACATTAGTAATATAATTTTAAAAAGCCTTCTGAAAAACACCTATGAGTAGTTTTGCACCATAGGCCCTGGTCTGCAATCTGATCGTGTGCTCAGGATGTAGTACAGAAGGATCTGTGAAAAGCGATTTAAAGCTCATCCATGTACCCACTACTTGCTACTGTTCACCCTGCATTGCTCATACACCTTTGCATCAGCTAATTAATATTTTGATACTCAACCTCTGTCTACTATAAAAGGTTCTCAGGTCAAAAACTACTCCTACCACTTGCATAGTGTATAGTGTGCCACCTCCTTATCTGCCTCTGTGACACTAGAGAGTTTCCTTAGCATTAAATCAATTGCATTTAAAACTAGACTTGGATAAAGTCTGTAGACACACAAGAAAGTATGGCTCAGAAATTGGAACTCTGTGTAAAGAGGCTTTTCAAGAAACTTGTGTATATATGTGGGGGTTTATATTTATTTTTCTCTTTGTTGTGCTACAACAACATATTTTCTCTTCATTAGGACTTCTGTCTTATTGAGGGTTTAGTTCATGTCCACAGTTGCCCATCTGGTGTTCTGGTACCTGTATTCCTTCATCCTTATCACTCAGAACTGGCTCAGCCTACTTTTCAAAGACAAAATTACCTGTTTCTCAAAGTGTTGCAGTAGCCAAGAGCTTCATTCATGAAAGCTCTCTGAATTGAGTTCTATTCCCAGCATATAAGATGGTGAATTGAAGATGAAAGCTATGGAAGTTAAAAACGGGCGCTTAGTTTGATGCCTAGTACAAGTCACTTGATTTTCCTCTGTGCTCGTAAGAGTCATGTTTTTCTCAGTAGAATCTTAGCTCCTGCTGACTGCAGTTACATTTGTGATTGCTGTACACATCTACACATGAGGTTGTGTGATACTGAGTCAGGCAACCAGAAAATGAAGAATCTACGGTTAGGAACCTCTTGAGATAAATTTGGTTGTGTGGCATCATTAGGTATAAATGTTGCTGGAAGCATGGATACAGTCCAGGATAGCAGTCCTGCTGCCTCGACCATGAGTCCCTCCTCTCTTTCTAAAACCCTGCCTCAAGGGACTTTTGTGCAAAGACAAACAGCTTAGTTATTGTGACTTACTTTATTACAGCTTGTTGACCGAGCCACAGTAATTGATTGTAGTCCATTACTAAGGTCAAGTCAAAGCCATAACTTACAGTAATGTAGCTGGGGCTGAAGTCAGGATTGAGTGGATTCGAGGAAGGAGTGAGGGATGGCAGCATGAGTAGGTGAATATATGACTGCTGTGTGGTTCTTTTCAGTACATCTCTTATTCAGCTGTGCCTTCTGTGTCCCCAAAGGTTATATTTTATCAGCATTTATCATCCAAATTATATTTTATCAGCATTTTTAAGTAGTCATTAAATAAAAATTGATGGAATAATTGATGTCTTTAAAATATCTTACTAAAAGGCTGGGTTTTTTGTCCCCCACCCCTTCATCTTTTTGCAGACTATACTCCATCCACTTCAAGCTTTGTGCTCTTTCCAGCTTCAGCATGGTGCCCAGATCCATCACAGCAAGGAACATCTTCTCAAAAATGGCTTATATGACAAGCCAATGCCAAAGAATAAACGCAAACTCAGAAGAATGGAGCTTTTGGTGAATAATGTTAAAATATAAGAAAACTGTACTGACTGTGCAGTGGAATTTATTTGCAGCTCACAAATGAATAGGACTCTGGATTTGATCCAAATGGTTCACTGTACTATAATAAAAGAACTTTTAGGCCTTCATAGGAAAGAGTTTATCTACCAACATGACAAACAGTAATGGACAAGCTTTTTCATTTTTGCAGTAGGCCAGGTGCCTTTTTTCAGATGATGGAAGATCATTCTCATTTCCTGGAAAGAACAGAAAGAAAACTCTGAGCATAATTTAGAGTTATGCTATCACTTGAGTGTCAAATACGATCCTCAATATGACTGGATAAATTTATTTTCGGGAGGCTTTTATCAGTACAAAAAGACAAGAAATATGAATATGAATGTGATGGGACAGTAAGGCTTCAGCATTTAGAATTATATTGAATTTCTGCTGAGCTTTTTAGCTTCAGTATCTGATTACAGTAGGCTTTCAAACTGTAATTCCTTATATTACTTGGTTCAGATGAACATAAGGCATGGTATTTGGATAGTTCTTTTTAACTTTGAGATTTTTATTTCTTATATTGTTAGAACTCCTTTTTGTGAATTTACATATATTTTACAATGCAGACAGGTTTTGTTTCTCTCAGACTTAATTTTTAAATTAAGCCTGCATATGTTTTTACCAGAAACTGAACAACTCCTACTTAAAAAAAAAAAAAAAAAAGGCAATGTAGAAAAATGATTTTTGGAATTTTAACTCAGGTGCTTCACTCTTACTTGAGTAAAAACTAATCTTTTGCAAATGGGGAGATCTTGTAGATATGAATATATCATACCCGTATCTTGACATGCAATGATTATGCTACTAAAGGAGTTAAACAAGTCCAATGTAAATGGCTCTGTAAGAAGTATGATGCAATGACAAATGATTATGTCTGGTTACAGCCTACTAACAGGATTACAGATCTTAGATTTCATGTGTTCTTTAGGTTTTCACTTCTTATGGTGATAGATAACTGTACCTCTTTCTAATGGGAATTGCTGGAAGCAGAAGAATTGGGTATTTTCACAAGTTTTCTGAAATAATATTCTATGATCTGGAGGAAAAAAACAGTGAAATAAAGGGTCTGTTGATCCTTTCTTCTTATACATAAATACCTCCTTCATATAACAGATTAAATGCTTAATGTTTGTCTTTACTGTCGGTCCCACTCTAGGTAACAACATGGAGCTAATTGGCTACTAATTAACCTTAGAAAAAGATGTTTTGTCTTTAATTTATGAGATGCAAGGCAAGAAACTACAGAATTGGGGGATGTAAACACAACTAATCAATATATTAACTGAAAGCTTTTCTGCGATTAACAGGAGAGGTCAAAATTAGGTCAGAGATTAGCTAAGAAGTTTTAGTTAACCCTGAGCTAATAGTGACCTTTTATTTAGGCATGGATAAACACTATAATTTGTCTGGATATGTTAGCAAAGTTTATATAACCTTTTTCTCTTCTCCCGGTCTAGATAAATCCGGTATCTGTCGCTATATTCAGCAAAGCTGAATTAGTTTTGACAAATCTGAAGCAAACCAGTCTCATATGATTAATGATAGTGTAGTTGCACTTTCGTTCACATTGGAACAGAGAAAGGGCATGTTTATTCCTGTAACACACCAATCTCCAGGCTAACTTGGAGTCTGAAGTTGCAATCTCATGCAATTTGCTTGCGCAGCCTTGTGTGTGATGCTGCCTCCAGTTCTGGGATTGGCATGACTCCTGCTGGGCTGGAAATCTTCTTTCCCTGTGCTGTGGGATGTGCTCAATAACTCCTTAAGGAAACAAGGGTATCAGTTAAGCTTTATTGTTAATGCCATATTTGCATATATGGATGATGTTCACATTTGATGTTGTGTGTGTTAATTTGATTTACCTTATTTTAGATTCATCTAGAACAGTGGTGTATCTTTTGACCTACATCGTGAAGATTATTTTCCTAAACAGAAGATTAAATGTGTCTTTACATAATATGTGAGTTTATATTATAGAAAACAGAAAGAAATTTGTATTACAGCCTGGAATTCAGAGCCATCTGCAAAATGCCTTAGAATTACAGGATCAGAGAAATAGTTGTCTTAATTGAGTTATAATCCTACATTAAATGCTCCCATGTGTGCAGTCTGTGCAGAGTTTTCATGTTTTTCACCAAAGGACAAATTCTGCACAGCTTACAATATGCACTTTTTAGCTTTGTTGATTCCTCTTGCTCTTTTAATTTTGCTCCCGTGGATAACAGGATTTGTAGGATCTCATGCTGGATGCATGGAAGCCTTTAATTGCTAATTTCCTGTGTTGTACGATACTAGATCAATCACTATGCAGCAGTTGCTGAAGAAATTAAAACCAATTCATTGCAGACCTCCAGGCATTTTATTTTTGGAGCTTTTTTTGTGTGTCCTGGCTCAGCTATAATATAGTGAACATTTAGATGCAACAGAGCAGTCACATGAAGTTCAGTTTTAGGTTTGTTCGAAGCTATTAAACACAAAACACAATACTTTTTAAAACTTTTTTTGGTGGAACTTTCATGATTTTAAAAATGTGCACAGTATAAGAGAAAGAGTTTAGAAAGTTTGTTTTCAGGTCTTTTGGATTCAAAATTTGCCTATAAATACATTACCTCAAAGAAATGAAGTCCAAACTCTTTTGACTAAGTTGTGTGTGATGAACCAGCACTCTTTGTAAGCAATTCCAATAGAATGAATTTAATTTTCAGTTTTACTTTTGCTGTTATGGTAGATCTGTTTCATTTTTCACTTTCCAAAAGATTAATGAATGAAACCCACCAGTCTAACAAGATATTGATTAAAAAAGAAGGAATGTGTTTGCTTCTAATATTTGGTCCTTTGTCCTTGTCCACTTTGTACTTCCAAATATTGCTACCAAGATGAAATTTGCCTTCTGTGTGCCCCAGTGTTGTGCTTTAGAAAACTGGTGACATGGATATTAGGCTTTTGAACAGGTATATATATTTTTCAAAGGTGGGCGTTGTTAAGTTGCCATATTTCTATATCTGTGAGACACAGTCTAAGAAAAAATACAAAGCTAGAAATCTTTTTAAGTAAGAACACACACCACATCTCCTCTTTCGTTTAGAAAGCTTTCATATTAAGGAGGCACTTAGGACAAACATAAATGTATTTTTCTTCAACATTTTACTTTCATTGCCTCATAACCCCACACTACCAATAAATTACTATTTTATTAGGTTTTTTTTGAAATAAAAAACAACCTGACTTCAAAAAGGGGAAACATTATTTTAAGACTGAGGAATTTTTTCTCAACTGCTACATTAGATAAAAAATTGCTTATGCTGCATTATTTTGTACAACTTCCCTGCTTGTTTTAAAATATAATTAAAAACTGAACGGTTTAAAAGGGATAGTGTTTTGTGCTTTTCTCTTGGTGTTTGTGTTTTTTATATCTATGTACATGAATGCACATAAATTATATATTTGTTTCTGCCTCAAAGCAGTAAAAGATATAATTTACTGTGATGATGTGCCACTGCATCTCTACAGAACCAAATTTGTTTGCATGTACCAGTAATACAAAGCGGTATTACAAAGCCTAGTCCTTTTTTTGTACCTTTTTAACACCATTCAGTCAGTTAATGAAGAGAGATGGCTTTGCCTATGCAGTTTGAAGAAAAAGGATTCCTTTGTTATCCACTGAAACCTGCATGAAGACTGAATTGCTTTGGCCATTACTCAAGCGTTTCAGTTTTAGAGCTCTCTTCTTTATTTCTGCAGTGGTGGCTAACTCCCGTTTGCTGCCCCAAAAGCATGCACATCTCCCTACACTCTCTGCATCTCCAGCTCAGTAGGAGCAATGAGCTGAATATTCTGTACCTCACCCACAGTTTTTCCTTCCCCAAATTGTTACACTCATGTTAAAAAAACCTCAAAACCAGAACTTGTTCCTTTCTTAATGCAGCCATTCCTCACCTTTCTGCTATAAAACCTGCCTTTTAGGAGCTTCCATACTGCCTTGGTTGCCAGGCTTGTTCCTTTTATCCCATTTTGCAAACCTTCCAAAGTCCTGGTCATAAGAGCTGCTGCTTTTGCAGTGAAAGGACATATGACAGACGGAAGTAAAGAGGAGAGAAAAAGAGAAAGGTCTGTGTTTTAAGAAGTTGAATAAGAGACTGTCATGGTTTAACCCCAACCAGAGCCAAGCCCCACACAGCCGCTTGTTCACTCTCTCACCAGCAAGATCAGGGAGAGAATTAGAAGGGTGAAAGCCAGAATCTCCTGAGTTTTGATGAAGACAGTTTAGTAAGAAAAGCAAAAGCCGCATGTGCAAGTAAAGCGAAACAGGAATTAATTCACTGCTTCCCATGGGCAGGCAGGTGTTCAGCCTCTCCAGGAGAGCAGGGCCCACTCACGCGTAACGGTGACTTGGGAAGGCAAACACCATCACTCTGAACATCCCTCTTTTCCTTCTTCCACCAGCTTTATATGTTGAGCATGATGCCATATAGTCTGGAATATCCCTTTGGTCAGTTGGGATAACCTGTCCCAGCTGTACCTTCTCCCAGCCTCCCACACACCCCCCATCACCTCACCAGCCTGGCAGTATGAAAAGTAAAAAAGGCTCTCTGCAAGTGCTGCTCAGCAATAACAAAACCAAACACAAACCCATACCAGCCACTGTGAAGAAAACTAACTTACCCCAGCCAAAACAAGTACAGAGGCTTAAGGGAAAAGTTGTTTCTTTTGCTATGGTATGTCTGCTAAAAACCTTGGTACTCGTCACTGTGGCTTCGTGTTCACTTAATACTGAGATTGTCCTAACAGTTTGACTTATTTGTGGAGTAGGGCACCTGCATTGTTTTTTGGTTTAAGATTCACGCAATATTTCTTTCAATCCCTTTGTGTTTCCTGAAAGATGCTAACTTGTGTTCTATGTGAGGAGGTACTTCTATCACTAAGCAACAGAAGAATTGCTATACCTATGGGACAGCAATGCTTGCAGCACAGTTAGGGCTTAAATTGATGTTTATACACCACTTGGTCTGGTTGGACCATGCATACTGCACTTCTTATGTCCTGGATGTAAGAGGCAGCAGATGCTCAGTTGGAAGTGGCTTTGAACTGTTCTCTCTGCCCATGGAAGTAGTAATTAAAAACCTCAGTAGCTGTAACAGACCATGGCCTACTGTGTCTATAAGGACAGGTAACATATTTTAGCTTTTATAGCTTTTTTAGCTGAACTGAAACTGGAACTTTATGTTACATATGCAAGATGCTTTTGGGCTTGAATACTAGAATTTACTCTCAATAAGGAGATAATATCAGAGTATGTACAAAATATTTAAAGCACCTTAAGACAGACCTACTTAATGTGTTAGTGTAAGAAAGCAACAGAATATTTGGCAAATTAATAACATATAAACCATTTGCTGCTTATATACATGCATGTAAATATAAATCATGTGTTTATAAAATACATAAGTTATTAGAAGTTATTGCCAATAAAAAAAAAAAAAGCTTTAAAAGGAAAATTAAAATTCTATGACACAAAAGCCAGTGCTTCTAGTTACCTGTTTTCCTTTTGTTGCTGAATGACTCATATGTATACATATATAAAATGTGTAGATAAAAATTTCTATTGGGATTTTTATATGCTCTTTATTTAAATACATTTTTAGGTGGATATGTTGAGAAACGGGTCATATACTAGTTGTGATTAAGCATTTGCAGAATTGAGGTCACATACACTGCCTTTGATTTTTTTTCATAATTACCAGCAGAAGGCAATGAGGAAAAAATTACACTGTACTATATTAATATATCAGCTTATGGTGCTTTATTATATTTGAAGCAATCCTCTCAGGAATTTAACTTTACCCAAAATCAAGCTCCTTATTCTTTTCAGGCATTAGATAGGATGTCTTCAGTCAGTGCTAGATGTGCTGGTGTATGCCAAATGTGGAATCAGTATTGTGGGGAATACTAGATTTAGATGAGAAGACTATTCATATAAGTTTCCCTAGAAAGATTATGTTAATTTTCACTGAAAATGAAAGTCCATGGACTAGTATCTATGCCTGGTTTGTTTGTTTGTTTCCATAGAGGTGTAATAGAATTGCACATAACTGGAATCTTACTGTTCATTCTCTTTCATTCTGAAATCTATCAACAATGGATTTGGTAATGGAAAGTACTGGTAGTCAGGTATTTGCCAAAAAAAAAAAAAAAAAGAAGAGCTGTGGTTTGTGACCCTTGCCTTATTTAAAGACTTTTTCTTTCTGTTCTTCTTTGAGCAGGCGTTGGTAGTACACAAGATACACACTTCAGCTGATCTTGAAGCAGTTGTGAGATTCTTGTTCTCCTTGGCTCTGTTCTCCTGTCTCCCCAGACAGCAGTTCTCCCCTCTGGGATTCGTGGCACTTGCAATGCTGTGATCAGTGAGAGTTTCACACTCTTTAGCCAAGCAGGCTGAACCTACATCTCTGCCTGCAAAACTAAATCCTCCTTGCCTATCTGTTCAGACAGCAGTCGTGTTTCCTTTTGACTCAGTTGTCACTGTGGAGTTGCAGACGATATTTTGCAGAGCTGTTGTGGCACTGTTGGGGCATTATGTGCTTTTGATAAGAGAAGGGAGAACACACCAGTTTCTGTTGCAGTTACTGTTTACTAGGGGTTTATCTGAAATGGATAAAATAAAATGTCGGTATTGTCCAATGATAAAGGACAAATTATGAAAGCAAACTTTTAAGGATCAGATTTTACACTTTACCTAGGAGCTTGTAACAGCAGGTCCTTGGTTATGTGACCTTCACAAGATGCAAGGAAAATCGCAGCCCTTCTGTTCAAGGGAATAGAAGAACAGTTTTGTCTTTCTATCTCTAGAGGCATGTATCACTTCAAAGACAGAGGGAAAGGGGCATGACTGTTGTGCAGCTCAAAACTGTAATACTGAGTATGACTGCTATAAAAGGAAATCTGTGGATGGATGCAGCCTCTTCTTTAGGATATGTCCTCTTTGAAGTTTTTAAGGACTTTACACCAAGAGAAATTGAAATGTATTTAAAAATCAAATGAGAAGTGTTCACTTACCTGAAGTCAACATTGTTGACCTCAGTCACCTCTGAATTATTTCTGTTGTTGTTTTCACAGTGTGTATAAGAGAAGTTGATACTAATTCAAAGTGATAACAAAGTGTGGGGACAGGGAATTGGATGTTTGTGGTTTTGTTTTGTTTTTAAAGATAGTTCTAAAATTCAGGAGCATGGGAGAAGTTGTTACCAAAGTTGAATTGGTTGTAAAGAGCACTGTGAGTTACAGAATCAGAGAGGTTTTGACCCTGTAGTTTGCATCTGCTCTGACTTCCCAGTACTTTGAAGAAAAATTGTAATGTGAATTTGATAACCTTTCAGAGAACTAAATCAGTCTTCATCTTTATATTCTGTTGAAATAAATAATTTTTTTTAAAAAAGGAACTTTGCTGCCCTTTCTAGAGGAACTCTACCTTTGTGAAGCTTTGGATTAAATTTTAGTGATTTGGATTAAATTCAAGTTTTACGGTTAGCTTTGATTTTTTGCCTGTAAAATACTGAGTATATTCTGCCTCCAAAATTACTGAAGCAGCCATAGAAAATGGAAACCTAGTTACACTCTGTATATGTTTTCAGCTTTCATGATGAAACGTCATCCTCCTGAAATAATTCTACAGATTGTGTCTATTCAATGTCAACAGGGATTTTCATTTCCTTTATAAGTTCCTCTAAAGTTACAGTCATATCAGTGCCTTTGAGATAATTAGTAGCTCCTAGAAGTAGATGTTTGGCAAGTAGTTACTTATATTAAATTTTATTTATATCAAAATGTTTTTAATATCTACCTCTTTGTATTTATTCAATCATTTTTAGGAACTTTGTCATGTGCACAACAGATTTCCCACCTTTCAGTCCAGGGTGCTATTTCTGATATGTGGCAGGTAACAGATGACCATGAATAAATGCTTCATACACTGTTTCTTTCTTGGGGGTAGAAATGCAATGCTTTTGATTAACGATGAAACCTAAAAAAGAGGAAAAAATAAAATATGACAGAAGTGTTCTGTTGAGTGATTCTTCTAGTTCAGTTGATGATTTCTACAGGGGAATGCCCCATGAATAATTCAGGTAAGATGGAAGCAAGAGCCTTGCTGACCAGTGACTCAATGAAGAAATCATGTTGAAACCAAAGTATCCTATGTAAAATGCATTATAGTCTTAATGCTGATCTTTAAGTATTAATAAGTTTTGTCCTGTAGGATAACCAGGATGCAGTATGGTTGAACCCCAAACAGGATTCATGTATATTGCTTGTGAAGCTGTCACAAATGCTCTGTTTTAAAATGAAATGGAATGCAAGTTCACTGTTGCCTAACGTC